CCTATCTATCTAACATAGCTAAGTTGAGAAATCATACAACATACATTTAGTATTACCTCTAAAAAATTCCTGAAAAAATGTGAAAAGTGAGATTTTGGAAAGGTAGGTACCTCTGCTCTGGCCTCTGCTAAGGTCTGTAGGAGACAAGGAGTAAAAAAAATATTATTGTATCAAAAAATTGTACCTACCTAGTACCTACCGACCGTCAACTCATTTGTCAAATAGGGTAATAAGGGATGGGCGGGGTAATAAGGGACAGTCATCCAACATTTTTGTAGAAATGTTGTAGCAGCCAAACTAATCAAGATATTGCAAAACTAAAAATAGTGGCATAAAGTTCAACATTTTTAGTATCTATGCAGTGTAAAGCTAGTTGAGAAATCATAAATTCATTACCTCTGAAAATCCCTGAAAAAAGTGTGAAAAGTGAGATTTTGGAAAAGTACCTCTGCTAAGGTCTGTAGCAGGAGAAACATTTGTTGTATTGAACAATTTTACTTACATAAAAGTTGCATGCTGGTCTTGGACTCTTGGCTTAAAAACATGATTGACAGAATTTGCATATCTGATTCCAATAAAAATGGCTGCAATTTTTTTGCAAAATGAGGTAATAAGGGACACCCCCTTGGGGTAATAAGGGACACCCCTAAAGTTGCATTCACAGTAGAACCTTGGTTAGCAGAGGCTCCAGTTAATGAAAAAAAAATCAATTGACAACAAAGAATTTTGATTACATTTATCTCGCTCAGTGAAAAAAAATTCACTTAACAAAAAATTACTGCATCAGTCATCACAAAATTGTGCATTCAAATGTCACAGGTAGAATTGAGCTCTGGGCAACAAGGAATGAAAAGTAATTAACCTAAACTATGATTTATTTCTCCAAAAAAATATGATGGTTGTCACTAAAATATTCCTTCCTGTTTCAGGTATGTTTTTTACAATATTTTTTGTTATAGTGAAATCACTTGGCTCAATTAAAATGTGCAAAATTACAAGCCTTCCTGTAAGCTTACAGGTACAGAAGAAATGCTACATGGCTGCTGATATGAAGCTTGCAGTGGACAAGGTTGTTGTCAATGCTCAATGGCATGTCCATGGATGCGGTAATATCACATTAATAAAACGGTAATGTATGGATAGGGTAATATCATATCAATAAAGAATAACCAAATAAAATTCACAGAAAATGTCATTTATTCTACAGTTACATCATCTACAAAGGAAGAGGAGGACTTCAGAGTACTGTTAGTAATAGATGAGTGCACTCTGCATGCTTCAAACTTTTTAAAATTGAGTTTTATTTCTAGTGTCCCTTATTACTTATTACCCCGTTTCCAGATTGATTCAGGAGCATTTTATATTGCGTCTAGCGCCTTACAAATAGCATATAAAATTTTTTTGGAGATGCCATACGATAGCCCTTGCAAAGATTTTTAAAACAAGCCCGAACTTGGTTATGAAATGTTTCATGGTAAGAAGTTATTAAGAAAAAATGCTCTAAACCGTCCCTTATTACTCCTTTAGACAGTGCACTGCTGACTGACTTTGAAGTGAGATAATGCTTACTTTCGGTTTCTAAGCTACGTTACATGCCTTTACATAGGGCATTGTGGTTTTTTGCCTCTACTGAACTATTTGAAAACATGAAAACCTCTCTCACGGCAAACCTATCTCCTACATTTTTCAAGTTACAACAATGAGACATATACCATTTGATGCGCAAAGAAAAGATCTACAATATGATGTAGGCATTATTCTAATTTCGTTATAGTTTGGATTTTATTCTGCAAAAAGGGGTGGTGGGGGCAAAATGGAAAAATTTCCAAAAAATTTGCAAAAAATGCAATCACACCCACAAAAAAAAAAATTGTAAAACCACAAAGATCAGTTTTTAAATATGATTTTTACGCATTAAATGATATGTGTCTCGATGTTGTAGCTTAAAAATCCTAGGAGGAGACAGATTTCAAAAGTATCCCATTTTTTGGCTGTTTTCTAAGAATTTGACTTTTTCTTTTATTTTCTTTTTAAACTCACATGAACAAAATACAAGTTTTTTTTCCATTTTACATATGTGTACCAAGTTTCAGAGTGATCCATCTGTAAATAGCCGAGATACATTTTAGCATAGATGCTCCCCTTAATAAAAGAGATACCGTAAATAAAGCCATGGATGAAGTTCATCAATTTTCAGAAATGATGACTTTCACTGACTTTTGTTACCAATAAGATTTTAGTAATTAGTACTTGGAAGGAATTTTACTATTGTTTAGAGTATGAAAAGCTACATTTAATATTTGCAAATTGTTTTAAATCTTATTCTATAGTAATAGAAAAAACTGATATTAGACATATTAATTTGCCTGTAAAAACTCCATTGCAAGTTTTTAAGTGAAAAAAATTGCCACTTTTTCTGCAGAATGCCTAAAATATTAATTTAAATATAATTGAACTCAGCCACCAAACAAAAATTGTACAAAGAACACAAAATTGTGCAATGCTTTAAGTGGAAAGTGAATAGTAACAATCAATTAGATCTTGCCGCCAAGTGCAGCATCTCAACATCTACCTACACGAATTAAGGAACAAAAGAGGGTCAGTCAAGTTGACAAGCAGTGGGCAATCAAATGTCAACAGTTGTCAATCAAAAGCCAGCTGTTGTTCCTCAAAAGTCAACAGTTGTCAATCAAAAGCCAGCAGTTGTTCCTCAAAAGTCAACAATTGTTCATCAAAAGTCAACAGTTGTTTCTGAAAAGTCAATAGTTGTCAATCAAAAGCCAACAGTTGTTCCAAAATAATATGCATTTAAAAATTACTTTTTAAAGACAACACTTCTAAAGAATACAGTGTTTCCAATGTTACTCATGTGTAATGAATTTCTAATTTTATTATCAAATATTAAAAAATTAATTTTAACATTTTATTGTTGAAATTAAAATAAATTGAATTTTCCAAAATTATTCATTGTGTCAATTGATTCATGCCTTGTCTCCAACTTAACGCATGTGTGCAAAATTTCAGATTGATTGACCATGTAAAAGTGTGTTAAAAATCGATTATAAGATTTGTAGCAGACGAACAAACAAACAACAAGAAGTGAAGTTAAAGAGAAGTGTCGTATTTAAAAGCTAAATTCCATGCAAGTGGAGAAAGAAACTTAGTGTAGTACTGGTATATATGTCTGTCAGTGTCAGGAATGTGAAATTTCCAGTTGGTAATCTTATTATTATTAAGTTAATCAATCCTGCAAAAGGATCAATACATTGTCTGTCAAAAAATTCAGCTAACACTAATCTGTCTTTTTTTTGTGTTTTTCATAATTGGACAGAGTTGTACTTACTGCAATTACTTCTTGATGATGGAGTCACCTCAGTGCAGTCAGATCAAAATAGAAGGTATGCCTCTATATAACTACTCTATCTACAAAAATGTGATAAATATGTCAAGTGTAGTAGGTACTCTAAAGATTACAAGAAATTCTAATATTCTGTTTGACAATAAATTTTATTATTCTAGTGCTGCATGCACAATTTACCCAAAACAGTAAATTTTCTATGCTACGTAAAATATTTATTGACCATTGTTCCTATATGTATAGATTGTGAAAATTCTTGTGCCCAAGTAAGAATAGAATTGATTTATAGTGAGGACTGAAAGCAAAAGTTTTTGAATTAGTACCTATGTTTTGAGTTGATATTTTATGGTTATAATGCATTATGATGTTGATACATGCTAATTTTTTCAGGTAAAGAGGTCAGTGACTCATCTCTGCTGCAAGAAATGGTGGTTGTCAACATTAAGAAGGAGCGTGAAGATGTAGGAGACAACATTGCCATTAAGAAGGAACCCGAGAGTCACGATGAAGAGGTAAAATTTCTCCCCTCTGAATAAATATTTCATAAATTTTTCAAAAAAAATTGACTGCCAAAAATTGGTCTTCTAATACTGTGTTGGAAAATTTATTGAGTTATGAATGGGGATCTAAAAGTCAAATGACTTTACATAAAGAAAAATTAATTTGCCTCTGTTTTTTGAATAAGGTTTTAAATAAATTAATTCCCAAGATTTTGTATGGCATTTCTACTCAAATATAAATTAATTTGTTTTATTTTATGCACAGCAGAGCTCCTCTCTTAGTGGCTTATTGGAAATAAAGAGCAATTTATCTCTTCTGTTTGAATGTACTCTATTCATGCAATAGTATTGTTACTGGTGTGGAATAGCAAATAAAATAACTCCTCAGCTTTACACTAACTAGTTTATATTATAATTAAACTAAACTAAATAAATTTACATGACTTTGGTGGAAAAGATAAAATGAAACCTTAGTACTGGTTCTACTAACTATTACGATCTCCTTTCATCATTACGACAGAACAAAAAGACTGATATTAAAAAGTCTCTAAAATGTGTAAATGCAATATCAACACAGGGAATGCCTTGCCATGTAGGACAAAGATACTAGGAAGGTATATAACATGTAGGCAGTGAGGATGGTTGATGCATCTTGACTTTGTGAACACAAGATCTGACAGCATTCTTTGTTACAGCAGCATATTACAATAAATTACTCTGCACGCCATCTAAATCTTACTGTTCTAACCTTTGAACTAAAAAGAATAATAAATTATTTTGGGCGAATGAATAAAGTATGTAAAATTCTTGAAGATACAGTAGACACAGTTCTAAAAATGATACCAGAAACCAAAAAAATTTACTGCAGAGCTGCCTAAACCACACACCACTGTTAACAATATTTAATTAGGAGTATAATGATAACAATATACCTATACGTAACAGTAATTTTGACAGTAGTTGTTGTGTAATAGGTATATGCCTTTAAATAAATATTAAAAGCAAGCTACTGTTCTCTAGCTGTACAATTAAATGGCACATCAAGTTTCTTTGGCTATAAGGTTCTGAGACAAATTTATTGATTAAAACATAAATATATTTGATATTAAAGAAAATTTTCTTGCATGATAAAGACTTGATTTATTTGAAACCTGCCAAGCAGTGGATTTGCAAAGGCTGCTTCATAAATAAATATGGCAGGTGATGGAATAAGATCCCCTACTGCGTGTTCATCACTTTTTTTTAAATATTTGAATGAAACAACATAACTGAGGAAACTTTGTTTCAATGCTCAGGAACTAAAACAAATATGTAACAAATTATTGTGATATGTTTTGTTGAATGTATTCTTAAATTGCACTGACATGTCATGTCATCTTCATCTTGGAATGCACTCCATTTGCCCTCACAAATATTCTCAGAAATATTTGTGCTGTAACCGTAGTTCTGTTTATATGAATCCATAGCTTGATTTGTGTAACTTTCCTTTCTAGTCCACACACACTTATTTTATTCTAGAAGATTATAATGATGTTCACTACTGTTCCATCAGGCTGGTTCTTACAAGCCTCCCAGCCCCAGCTGTAGTGATGTCAAGACTGAATATGACATCACAGTTCCTGATGTCAAGATAGAATGTAAACTTGAGACTCCTGATGACAGTCACCAACCTGCCTCGCCCATCTATGCATTGCCTGGCATTCTGGTGAGTAGTCTGGCTATCACAATGTTGCTTTTAGATATGCTTCAGTGCCAACCACTATGATCAGCTAAATATTAAAAAAATTAAAAAAAATTAATATTAAAAAATAATAATGATTTGGCTAATGTTGCCATTGTCCTCAGACTGCCAGTGAGGGCCTCTCTACATTTGAAGAAGCGGCAACCAGTTCCAAGCAGCACACGGCGATGCCTGCACCATCCGAGGGTGGGATTTTGAGCTCCAAAGTTGAGACTCAACTGCAGACGTGTCATGCAGATGCGCCCTCGTCCTCAAATCAATTTTCATGCCAAGAATGTGAATACCGCAGCAGTTCAAAACGCAATCTTCAGGCACATATTCGTGCAAAACATTCAGAAGTAACTGAATATTGCTGCGGTGAATGTGAATATCACAGCAGTTCAAAGCGTAATCTTCAGGCACATATTCGTGCAAGACATTCAGAAGAAACGGAACATTGCTGCACTGAATGTGAATATGTTTGTTCTTCAAAACGAAATCTTAATTATCATATCCTTACCAAGCATTCTGTGCAGAAACATTTTTGTTGCATGGAATGCGATTTTTCTTGTGCTTCAAAAAGCGGCCTTAGGAGCCATGTTCTCTCCAGGCACTCATCAGAGAAGCCTTATCACTGTTCAGAATGTGAATATTCTTGCGTGACTAAAAAACTTTTAAGAGAGCATGTTTTTTCCCGACATTCAACTGAGAAGCCTTATAATTGCGCAGAGTGTGACTATTCATGTGTATCTAAGACATATATGAGGAATCATGTTCGTGCGCATCATACATATGAGAGGCCATTTCGCTGCTCAATGTGTGAACACACCTGTGTAACTAGCAGCCTTCTAGGAAGACATATTCTACAAAAGCATTCAGAGGAAAAACCTCACAAGTGCTCACAGTGCAGTTATTCATGTGCTATTAAATCTAATCTCAGGAGGCATGTTCAGTATAGGCACTCAGAGGAGAAACCTTCTCGCTGTATGCTGTGTAGTTATTCCTGTGTGAGCAGCAGTGATCTAAAGAGGCATATACTGATCATGCATCCCCTAGAGAAGTAGTTCTGGGCCAATATCAATGTACCGATGAAACTCATCTATATCAGTATTTATCTTCTTTCTAACCATATACAGGGAAATAAGTTTCCTCACTGCACCCATCAATGTGTTAAAGAAATTGTGAATTATATCAACTTTTTTCTCGGCTGCAGACCACTGTTTGCGAGAACCTTACACATAACTCTGCAGCCAAATTTTGTCGATTTATTTTGCTTGTTCAATCGATACTTTTATTCTAATTTAATGTATTATTTAGGAATGGTATTAATGTTCTTACAATAATTTTTATCTACTTGAACTCCAGACGCCATCTTGGTTGTGAAACACTTCCTCTTAGAAGTGTCAGAACTTGATTTATAAATGATGAATAGGGCACAAAGTTGCCTTAATTTTTATAGTATGTTAAATTTTATACGATTAATGAAGTGTAACTGCTAATTTTATGTATATTAATATATATGATCTCCTAAGATGATAGGTTAATTGTAAGATAATGATAATTTTAGCCTTGATACTATGTGAAATAAATTGAACTCAATTGCATTGTAGAACAAAACTTGTACGAGGCTCAATCAATAAAAAATTGGATGCATATAGTAAAATTGACCAGCTTGTTTCTGGTTGCCTGCAGGTCATACCTACATTAATGAATCATTAAATTGTTTCATTCATCAGCGTTTTTTTCCTCAACGAGATATGGGCAGTCGTTGAATGTCACTGAAGTCGAGACAATGAAAGTGCGAACTTGTAAAACGTTATTTTATACAAGTGCGAAGTGAGCTGTAAAGTTTGTCATTTGTAGGTTATAAGTATAGTGATAAATTCAACAGTTCTATAACTTATTAAGAGGGGTCCACGCAATTCGCTATGTTAGCTATGATGTCGCTCGTGTTCAGGTTTTGAATGCCATTGTTCAAGAACCAGCAGGAATCTTAATCATTTTCTTGGCCGTCATGGAAATTGCGTTGGCAGTCGTTTTTTTAATAACTATCGCCTGTTCTTTCTTGATGAAACAAATATTGGATGTTGACTCCATAGTGGCGGGCTGCAGCACCGAAATTCCAGATTTCCTTCAACATGTCGATAAGTTCACCATCATTCAGTCATTCCAGTGCTGGTGCCTGGGTTCAGCGCCAGCCTGGGAAGAACCCATGTAAGTAGAGTGACTCCTTTTATAGGGCACCTCGTCCATTCAGAATACATACTTTCATTAACAAAGACGTATTGCAGTCATGTTCATCTGTACTGCATTTATTGAACAAGACGTCCATTATAGAAGCATTGAATAGAAGTTATTTTATGCGTTCAACGACAATCCAGGAACAGTAATTCAATATAGAATTCGTTTGGCATTAAACATCAAATTTGTTCATATTTCACGTAAATTGGTTGACAGGTTCAGACTCAAATGTTAAGTAGTTATCATATACACTGAACAGGAGTGGAGTCAGTGGACTATATATACTTTGCTTCAAGTACACACAATTAATAAATCAATGGGACACAATTCACGAGTGTTATACAATGATTGCATTGATTTAGATATTGGAAAGATTTGTTACAATCAAGTTTGTATTACCACATCATGTATCATTAACTATTACTTCCTATTCCCCTATCATGGTTTATTTCGTGAAAAATTAGAATGAAGTCTCGATTTTTTTGGGTTGACCAAATTTCCTAGGTTTGCCTACAGTTGTAGGCAAAAATAGTGAGGATCCACTGGTTTGTTTCAGTATATGAACATATTAATCATAATCATTTACACTAATTACTATTCAAAAATTTAAAAATATAATATACACGAAAGTTTTTAGCCATGTGATTATACAAAAATTACATTGAACTTTTCACGGAAGTCGGGTCATTTTTATAAAATTGTGTCAGTCGCCTTTATTGAAGAGTTTACGATCGAATAAGTTTTCTACGTATAATTGGAAAAAATGCTGTTTGATCATAAACTACACTGTTTTTTATAAATTCATATTCCCCAAAAAATCAAAATGAAGACATTTCAGGTGATGTTTCATAGTGAAATTTTTGCATAAATAAATTTTATCAATATTAGAATTAGAATAAAATATTAGAATTTGGTATTGCTGAGTTACGATGTAAAGTGAAAGCGCATACAACGAGTTAAATAATAAATAAAAATTATTAAAGTGTAATAAGTACATTAATGAGTGTAATAAAGTGTTCGCCGCGCTGTAAAATATTGAACATTGCTATTAATTAGGTTCATCTAAAACATTCCGTTGTTTGGCAGTGTTTCCATGTTTGGATGTTTTAAAAAACGCTTATTTTTCGCTTGTACCCTGAGTTTGTTTTCGAGGAGTTCAATGCTTATCAAAAAAGCTAAATAATTTCTATGAAGACGTTTTAAAAGTACTGCAAAATTATTTGAGAAAGAAATTAAAATATTATTTGAACCCTGGCCTTTATGATCGAGTGCAAACAATATTGTTCATTGACAGAAAGTAACAACGCTAGCGTTTCGCACTTCATTGCATGTTACAAGCGAAATTCTTTGTCTTTTGAATTTTGCCCTTAAGGACATGAAAGTTTTTACCCCAGAATTATCAAGGTTCATTGCCACTCTTTTCTGTGTCGCGAGATTCATGTGATTAGAAATTGTAATCGTGGCGTCGGATTATCGAAGCGAGACGGACCTGATTATAATGTTTATTATCGCCGCGCTATCGCCGGACAAGTTGGCCAGCCAAACGCCGCCTTTTATTTTCACTCCTGCGCTTTAACCTGACGACTAACGGCGCAACCAACCCTTTAGTCAACGCTCACTTCATTCGATACTTTATCCAGTCTAAGCTCACTTCAGTCAACGCTCACTCCATTCATTGCTCATTTCAGTCAAGATTCATTTCAGTGAACGGTCATTCCAGTCAACGCTCACACCATTCAATGCTCATTTCAGAGAACGGTCATTCCATTGAATGCTCATTTCAGTCAACGCTCACTTTAGTCAACGCTCACTTTAGTCAACGCTCACTTTAGTCAACGCTCACTTTAGTCAACGCTCACTGCTTCCAATGCTCATTTCAGTCAACGCTCACTTTAGTCAGTAGGAGGATTTCATATTTATTCATTAAGGGAAGAACGCGATATTTTACCTACCGGTACGAGTTTTGCTGATGTGCGTTTCTTCAGTTGACTGACTTGCCTGAATGTACTGGGTTGACTGCACTTCGTTGTGGCCGCCGATAAATCGTCCCAGATTTTCACTAGAGTTTTTGTCGCGTGACCAGAAATGTGACTCGGAGTGGTGCTGTTGGTCACGTTTTGACCCACTCCTGCAACATCGCGTGTCGCCCACTTCATCCATCAGCTCACCCCCCCGAGTCACCCGGGTGGGTGACTCGCTCAAATCCGTCGCTTCAACCATTCAATATCTTCCCGTTCACCCACCCACCACCTCACTCTCCAAGCCCACTCATTCACCCATCACTTCACCACTCTAAGCCCACTCATTCACCCATCACATCACCACTCTAAGCCCGCTCATTCATCCATCACTTCACCACTCTAAGCCCGCTCATTCATCCATCACTTCACCACTCTAAGCCCACTCGTCCACCCATTCCTAATGAAACAACACGGACACCAGAAATAGTTTCAGCAAAACTATCGCTAGTTTCATCGCACAAAAGTTACAATATATTTACATAATAAAAGTGTCTACCCGATAATGATTGGTGATTGGATCTTTGAAGATTACCGGGTAGAATAGCAATACATGTCAATCATTTCTATTTGTGACGACTTTAAGCAGGATATTATATAATAATATTGCTGTTGCTATTGATTATTATATCAACAATTCATCTCTTTAATTATATTACGCGTTGCAGAGAAGATCTGTCACGCCAATGAAGCTCTTCAGGTAAATGACGCAAAGTCGTGTGTTGATTTTACACGCGTAGCCGTGTTGAAACAAGACGCCTTTGTCCGCTAACGAGGACTTGGTGAGACAAAGGCGCCTTGACGTCACACCTTAATGAGGGACCGCCTTAATGAAGGGCAGATGTGAAGACTTGAACGCCTTAATCTGCTAAGGCGTGAAATGGACCATGGAGTGTTGGAAACTGTGACGCCTTGACGCCTTGATGACTTTACTTATTGACTCCTAGGTGACTTGGCTACAGGTCAACAGAAGGCGCCTAAGTAAAACAAGAGCGCCCCAGTACAACAAAGGGCGCCGCAGGGCGACGTGATGTCAAGGATATACAGCTTCTGCTCACGACGGTGATTAAACATGAAGAGAAGTGCTCTTAACACGGCAGCATCCATATTGTTGGAACACATTAAGCATACGGACAGAAGAGAAGTGCTCTTAACACGGCAGCATCCATATTGTTGGAACACATTAAGCATACGGACAGAAGAGAAGTGCTCTTAACACGGCAGCATCCATATTGTTGGAACACATTAAGCATACGGACAGAAGAGAAGTGCTCTTAACACGGCAGCATCCATATTGTTGGAACACATTAAGCATACGGACAGAAGAGAAGTGCTCTTAACACGGCAGCATCCATATTGTTGGAACACATTAAGCATACGGACAGAAGAGAAGTGCTCTTAACACGGCAGCATCCATATTGTTGGAACACATTAAGCATACGGACNTCAGCCGCCATATTAGGACATCCGTACGATATCAGCCGCCATATTAAGACATCCGTACGATATCAGCCGCCATATTAGGACATCCGTACGATATCAGCCGCCATATTAAGACATCCGTACGATATCAGCCGCCATATTAGGACATCCGTACGATATCAGCCGCCATATTAAGACATCCGTACGATATCAGCCGCCATATTAGGACATCCGTACGATATCAGCCGCCATATTAAGACATCCGTACGATATCAGCCGCCATATTAAGACGTCCGTACGATATCAGACTTCAATTTAATTGGCTCCTATTTTCAAGCTTTGCCAATAACAACGGCGCTAATGTCCGCCAATCACCGGAAATTAAGTCTCGGTCTCCACGCCCACAATTATTGGCCGCTAAGGACCAAGCCCTTAATGGCCTTAATGACCTGCCCTTGAACCCCTTAGTGACCGCCATGACGGCCAGATGACGGCTAATTATGTCGCAGCGTCAACCGTGAAATGCCAATGGAATTTATTGGAATTTATATGGCGACATTGGTGCAGGGTGTTGACTTGATGTGGCGACATTGTTGCAAAGTGTTGAATTGATGTGGCGACATTGGTGCAGGGTGTTGAATTGATATGGCGACATTGGTGCAGGGTGTTGACTTGATGTGGCGACATTGGTGCAGGGTGTTGACTTGATGTTGCGACATTGGTGCAGGGTGTTGACTTGATGTTGACTTAGGTGCAGGGTGTTGACTTGATAAGACGCGTGTGGCGACTTAGGTGCAGGGTGTTGACTTGATAAGACGCGTGTGGCGACTTAGGTGCAAGGTGTTGACTTGATAAGACGCGTGTGGCGACTTTGGTGCACCTACGTGATATTTCATCAACTAATTCGGGAAGAGGGACAACCGTTGTACAATCTAACTCAAAATCTGAACATGTATTAGAAAAAATTCCCTCTTCCTTCAGATGAAATCCATGACGTAATCCACGACGTAAATCACGTAATATACAACGTAATCTATGGCGTTCTCTACAA